TCTATAGTGCAGGCTTTCAAGTTGTAAATTCTTTTAGCTTCTGTTTATCATAGAAGGTTTTTATTTCATCACCAAATCTAAAGCTTGATTTTGCTGGATATAAGACTCTTGGTTGACATTCATTTTCTTTCAGAGGTTGATGTGTGTTATTTGTTTTAATTAGTTATACATGACAGTAGAATGCATATGCACTTTGATATTCATACATAGATGGGGTATAATTTCTCATTTTTCTGAGGGTACATGCTGCGGAATCATATTGGTCATTTACTCACAAATATACATAAAGTAATAATGTCTGTTTCATTCTACTATCTTTCCTATCCCCATATTCTCTCCTCTTGCCTCCCACCACTTCCCTCTAACCTAATCTAAGGTAATGCTATTCTTCCCTAGTGCCTCCTGCCTTATTGTGAATTAGCATCCTCATATTAGAGAAAACATTTGGCCTTTGGTTTTGTGAGATTGGCTTATTTCGCTTAGCATGATATTCTCAAACTCCAACCATTTACTGGCAAATGCCATAATTTTTCTCTTCTTTAAAGCTGAATAATATTCCATTGAGTATATATGCCACATTTTCTTTATCCATTTATCTATTGAAGACACCTAGGTTGGTTCCGTAGTCTAGCTATTGTGAATTGAGCTGCTATAAACATTGATGTGGCTGTGTTCCTGTAGAATGTTGATTTTAAGTCCTTTGGGTATAAACTAAGGAATGAGATAGCTGGGTCAAAAGGTGGTTCCATTTCCAGTTTTCTGAGGAATCTCCATTCTGCTTTCCATAATGGTTGCACCAATTTGCAGTTCTACCAGCAATGTATAAGTGTACCTTTTTCACCACATCCTCACCAACATTTATTGTCACCTGTATTCTTGATGATTACCATTCTGACAGGAGTGAAATAAAATCTTAGAATAGTTTTGATTTGCATTTCTCTAATTGCTAGAGATGTTGAACACTTTCTTATATTTGTTAATCAATTGTATTTCTTTTTCTGTGAAGTGTCTGTTCAGTTCCTTAACACAATTATTGATTGAGTTACTTGTTTTTTTGGTGTTAAGTTTTTTTTTAGTTCTCTATATAGCCTAAAGATTAATGCTTTATTGAAAGTGAATGTGGTAAAGAGTTTCTCCAAATTTGTAGGCTCTCCCCTCAATTTATTGTTTTCTTTGCTGAAAAGAATCTTTTTAATTTGAATCCATCCCATTTATTGATTCTTGATTTTACTTCTTGCGCTTTAGGAGTCTTGTTAAGGAAGTCAGATCCTAGACTGATGTGGTGAAGATTTGGGCCTATTTTTTCTTCTATTAGGCACAGGTTCTCTGTTCTAGTGCCTAAGTCTTTGATTCTCTTTGAATTTATTTTTGTTCAGATAAATAGAGGTTTAATTTCATTTTGCTGCATATGTATTTGCTCTTAAGATGGAGAAAAACTTCCTAATGTGACCTAATGTGATCTTGCATGACTTAGGTGCTTGTTACCTCTCCAGCCTCATCCACCAAATGCTCCTAGTCAATGTAGAAAGGTACTTGTACCTCCTATATGATCCCCTCATAGCAATATGAGGGTATTTTTCTCTTCTTTCTGAAACATCTTTTCTCTGAAAAGCATGAAAACAATTAATTGCCTACTCATTCTTATACATCCAATTGAGAGTAAGTAATGAAGAAGCTTGGCAAGCTCTCTGAGAATCATCTAAACATGACTTACAAATGTGCAATTTCTCCTTTTTTTTAGTATTTGATTAACAATGATCTTTACTATTGTTCTGTGTGCTCCTTAAAGGGCACAGCTGCTTCCCAGTAAAAATCTGTTTACAAAAATAGAGGACATGTTGTTCTATTGTTTTAAAACCTCTGGGTCATAGGTTACTGGCCCCTTGCTACACCCCCAAGAATTTATCCATATGCTTCCCAAGATCCATGGGCTGAAGTCTGAGAAACTCAGCCCTATCTTGCTGTTTGTTCTCTCCTAGAACATTATCATAACTCTTAGAGGATGCTTAAAATGAAGGAAATATATCACCTAAGATATTGGATAGGAAGGAGGAAGCAGAGTTGATAATTCTCGTGACTAAGGTGCTTTGGTGCTGATAACCCATGAGTTTCACTGGGAGGAAGCTATGCCCATTCACTTATACATCCACCACTGCTGTGTTTCTGCTAAAACAGCAGAGTTGAACAGAATTTATGATTTCAAAGTCTAAAATAAATTTATTATTTTCCTGATTAGAGAAAAATGTAAACAAATATGAGGGGTTTTTTTGGATTTGGAGTTTCTGTTTGGTGACAAAAATATTTTGTAATATTTAATTTCTTTGATTTACCTATATTAATTGGGTTAATTAATAGGTTGATGTGGGGGCACTGCCTGCCCATAGGCTGAGCATCCTCTCTCAACCTGAGTAAGGGGGGTGTCTGGTCTGGCATTGCACACCAAGCACTGTGTGAAGCAAGTGGCCTCCATCTTCTATAGACAAAGAAGTTCACTCTACCTCTGAACTTGGGTGTTATCCAATGGAATTGGACAACCACCCTTTGAAACCGTATCCCCTGAATTATTTGATGAAGAATATTTCATTAAGCTAAGTGTCCCCTCTATAAAAATAAAAATATTCTGGGTACAGCCTTTCTTGCCTTCCAGTATGGAAAAGGACCCTTGAGGTCGCAGAGCAGTCCCGTCCTCGATCTGAGAAACTCATGTCAGTGTGTTGCGTGATTTTTTCACTGTTTTCTTAGTTTAAGGTTGCAGCCAGCTCCTTTGAACTCAGTTCATCTAATCAGTGGGGGTAGCTGGCAAGAGGTTGAGTTTGATCATTCTTTATATGACACAGTGTGCACTGATCAAATTCTGTCATCCTTTAATGATACTTTCCACCCTTTTCTCAATCTCTAGTAATTACTACCCTGCTTTCAGGTAAACTTTTTAGACTTCCACTCATGAGAGAAAACATGCAGTACTTGTTTTTCTGTGTATAATTCATTTTACTTAAAGTAATATATATATTATTTTATTTATCCATTCATCTGTTGAGGGAAACCTAGGATAATTCCATATCTTAGCTAATGTGAATAAATCTGCATACACATGATGTGCGGGTATCTTTTTGGTATGCTCACTTTATTTTCTTTGGATTTATACCCAGGAGTGGGATAGCTGCATCATGTAACAATTCTCCTTTTTGTTTTTTGAGGAACCTCTGTATGATTCTCCATAATGGCTGACTAATTTACATTTCCACCATCAGTGTTCTTTTTTCTCTTCATCCTTGCCAGCATCTGTTATTTTGTTGGTTTGTTTGTTTTTATAATAGCCATTTTAACTGGGGTGAGATGGTATCCCATTTTAGTTTTGGTTGGCATTTCACTAATTGAGCATATTTTTATATATTTGTTGGCCATTTTAATTTTTTTTTGGAGTAGGGGAAGTGTCTATTCAGATAATTTGCCATTTTGAAATTAGATTACTTGGTTTTTGCTTTTAAGTTTTTAAGTTTCTTATATATTCTGCATTTAGCCCTCTGTTAGATGAATGGTTGGCAAATATTCTCTCACATTCTGTAGATTTTCTCCTCATTTTATTATTTCCTTTGCTGTGTAGAGGCCTTTTAGTTTGACATAATTCCATTTGTCAATTTTTGCCAAAAAAAAGCATATTTCTAACCATCTGGGTTACTCAGATATAAGAGCATGCCCTTTGATTTTGATGCTTTTTTGTGTTATTTTCACCAAATTAAGGGCAAATAGGATAATAGCAATTCACAAACCAAGACATTATAGTTGTTAACTTGATAAAAGTTTTCAGGATAATTTGGTTATTATTTTGATTATGGCCTGCACACAGACTGAACTCCAAAGAATCTGCTTTAACATGGTCACTTCTATCTTCCTATTGAAAGATGATGTATTGCTCACATTCATTGTTAGTGTGTGTGTCACATTATATGTCATTCAGTAAACATAAAGGAATCAATAAATGCATAATATATTCTTTTCAGAGATGAATCTCTGTACCTTTGGCTCAATTTGGTTGTGAAGCCAGACTAAAGCCATTTTAAAAAAATACAATCCATAGAAAAAGAAGACTGAGTACATGCCTATTTCTAGTGTTAGAAACACCGATTTATAAGACAAGAATGCAAAATTTTTATGAACTCAGTATTATCAAAAATATATTATCTCTGTGAACCTATACTTAGAGGGGTAAAATACAACTTGTACTATTCTAAGTCTACAAAGTTTTCTGATTTTGGTGACAGGCACAAATGCCAATGGACTCTACTGATATTTTTGGTAGTGTTTCTATTGGCTTTAATAATGTTCTGTTTACAAATAGTATATTTGGGGGTTTTATCATAGGCCAATTTCTACCATCATCAATGTACATGGTTTGAAATAGCAGGACAATTTACAGGAACACACAAGTTGAGTTAAGATAGAAATTCCTGTAGCTGGGCACTGAGTAGAATTTTTTGAATTTATGTTGTATCCACATACACATATATTTTTTTCTTCCTTGCTGTTACCTGACAAGGTATACATTTGATAAATTTGAGGACACAGGAAACATGATTTAAAATATTGTATCAACAATAAAATATTTCTCATGTATCTTTTGCTAAATTCCATGACTGGCAATAAAAGTTTTTTTTTTCTTTCTGTTAGAAAGTAAAAGTTCTGTGCTTACTTTTTAACTTTGTCCTGTGTACAGAAAAGGAGTCATATGTCAGATCAAAGGGTGCATGAACCTGTTATCTCATGTGTTCACTAAAATTCAAAATAAATTATAAGTTCGGCATTTTCCATCAAAGAATGGGTCAAACATGATTCAACTTCCACTGTTATTTTCAATCTATCAGTTATAATGAGACCCAGCAAGAGCTTGGGGCCATCTAGGATCTTCTGCTATACAGGAAGCATGTGACAGGACCCAGGCAAACCTGCCCTATATCTGCCAATTGCATTTCCTGTTGGAGCAGATGTAGCACACAGCTTGGTAACTTTGCTTGTACCTCTTGAGCACAAGGTATAGAATTAAGATCTGGATTTGAGATAGAACATAGAAGATTTCTCTCAGGGAAGAACTACCACTATGCTAGCCACCAGCCTGCTGGGAGTAGCCATTGCCTCCATCTGTCTTGGTAAGGATGTGAACAAGTACAGGGCTCAGGCTTTTCTCAGGCATGAAGGCCATACAGAGAGAAGATCGTTGTTCTCCAATGAGGCTCAAAGGGATGAATGAAAGTCAATGAGATCAGAGCACTGAGTCCTCAGTCACTTTACCCTTTATAGTCCTGTGGTTCCAGATAAAGGATTTAAGTCTATTTCTTCTTCTCTTCTGCAGGAACGAGCATGGCCCAGAAGGTAGCTCAAGATCAGACTGCAATTTCTGTGATGGAGAAGGAGGCTGTAACTTTTAACTGTACGTATGAAATCAGTGATGATATTTATTACTTATTTTGGTACAAACAACCACCACGTGGGAAACCAACTTACCTTATTCGTCAGGACTCTTACAATGAGCAAAACGCAACGGAGGGTCGCTATTCCCTCAACTTCCAGAAGGCATCCAGTTCCATCCAGCTCACCATCACAGCCTCACAGCTCATGGATGCAGCAGTGTATTTCTGTGCCCTGGAAGAGGCCACAGTGAGAGGACTGCCTGTGGGAGTCCCACAAAAACCTCAAGAAGAGCTAGGGCCTCTGGGGGGAGACCCCACCACAGACAGGGAGGAGCAGGTCTGTGTCAGCACAGGTGGGGGTTTGGCAAGGAAACCTGAGTGCAGTTCATGTAAAATGTCCAGATGTTCACTTGTGAGAAGGATGTGTAACTCCTGTTTTTTTGCAATAGATTAAGATAGAACATGTAGTACATATTTTTATTACACATGCAAAAATTATTTTCAAAATGCAACTTAATACAACTTATTAATCTTGTGGTGGTTTATTGAGGTAGGGAAAATATAAATTATATTCAGACCTAATGTAATATTCTATTGAACAGTTATTAAAACTTCAGAATCATTCATACATTTATTATTATGTAGAATGCCTTAATCCACCTTTAATGTAATTGACTTCTGTTGAGTTTTCTCAAAAATTGAACAACTACTCCATGAGGCAAAAGAAATTGTTTAATATAGACCCATTTTAATAATCTTCCTTGAACAAGCAGAAAATATATGAAATATTTCTCATATTACCTCTCTTTTTTGACACAATTATGATTTTTAAAAATCTGGTGTGACTGCAAATTGGTGCAACCACTATGGAAAGCAGTATATAGATTCAGAAAACTAGGAATGGAACCACATTTTGACCCACCTATCCCACTCCTTAGTTTATACCCAAATGACATAAAATCAGCATACTATAGGGACACAGCCACATCAATGTTATAGCAGTACAATTCACAATAGCTAGACTATGGAACCAACCTAGGTGTTCCTCAATAGATGAATGGATAAAGAAAATATGGTATATATACTGAATGGGATATTACTCAGCTTTAAAAAAGAGAAAAATTATGGCATTTGCTAGTAAATGGTTGGAGTTTGAGAATATCATGCTAAATGAAATAAGCCAATCCCACAAAACCAAAGGCCAAATGTTTTCTCTAATATGAGGATGCTAATTCACAATAAGGTGGAAGGCACTAGGGAAGAATAGCGTTACCTTAGATTAGGTAGAGGGAAGTGATGGGAGGGAAGAGAACGGGATGTGGGGATAGGAAAGATAGTAGAATGAAACAGACATTATTACTTTATGTATATATGTGACTGTATTAACAATATGATTCTGCAACATGTACATTCAGGAAAATGAGAAAATATATCCCATCTATGTATGAGATATCAAAGTGCATATGCATTTGATATATACTCTCATGTATAACTAATTAAAACACAAAAATTATTTTCTAAAAAGCATGCAAATCTATCGCTACCTACAGAGGGAAAGATTTGTCCTGATCTATTGATTCTCTTGTCTTCATCCTTCCTCTTTAAGTTGTGCCAGTTTGATGATGAGAAGTGGTCAAGGCCATAATCACAGTTTTCATGGCAACCAACACTAGATGGTCTTCCAAGAGTCAACTTCCTGTCTAGACATATTTTTCCTTAGGTATCTTGGAAAATGCTAGGGACAAAAATTTTATTTCTTTTACTCCATACAAGATTTTACAAACCTCTGAGTCAGTTGCCAACATATAAAAATCAGACATCATATTAAAAATAGATTTCTAGCTTATTCAAAAATAGGAAGATCTAGAATACAAGACCCTCTGGGGTAGAGGTAAAAACTTCTCCTTGAACATGCAGTGGTTTTGATGTATGTTCAATTATTGTAAAAACTTATTTAACTTTACCATTAATTCACAATATAAACTTGTCTAAAATATTTAATTATTAATTATGAGGTATAAACAAGTACACAAGAGAAACAAACATGAATTAACATCTCATGAAACTATATCGGTTTCCCGCCCATGATTTCATGTATCACAATGTGTATCGCAGTTTGGGGAACTTAAGTGGAGCTTATTTGTTAATTCAAAAGGCATTAGTTTCCATAGTAAGCATTGAGGAAACCTTGATTAACAAGACAGACATGATCCCTGCCTTTCTGGAAGTCTTGCTACCCCTCTATATTTGGAAGAAGAAAACCTGGTGTCATAGAATCTTCCACGGTGTTCCACACACTGAAAAATAGTGTAACAGGAATAACAAGAAGCTAGAGGGAGCTGGGAGAAAGGATAGTGACCCAGGAAGTTGCCTGCTATCCACACACAGGTGCTACTCTTCTACTTAGGTAGGCTACAGAGGGAGAGAGAGAGAAAAAAGAGAGAGAGAGAGAGAGAAGAAGGAGGAGGAGGAGGAGGAGGAAGTGAGGAAGGGAGAGAAAGAAGAGGGAAGAGGCTAAGGAAGAAGTGGGAAAAGGAGGAAGGGAGAAACAGGGAGGAAGAGGACAGGCATTAACCCTGAAGTAAAATAGCTTCTACTTAAATATGAGGTTGTGATCTCTTTCACAAGTCATAGACAACTTTCTTTCCTACATGCGGGAGAATCAGGAAGTATAGACGATGCCCACCTGACAAACACTAGGTCAGGGAACTTTGCCAACCAGCTGAACCTCCAAATGACAAAACTTTTCTTGAGAAGTCCTAAGGCAAGAGGAGCAACAAGTTTTCTAAGCATGAGGATGCCCAACATCACTTGTGAAATGTAGACAGATCTCCATCCCTAAAGAACCAAAGAACATTGTAGATGTCTGGGGCTCCTTCAGCATCAGAGCCCCATCTAGAGCCAGGTTGCAAAGGCAGATGCTCACAGGGTGTTCACAGAAGAATGAACATGAATGTGGTTGTCTATATATTTGAAAAAGGGGGCAAACTTGATGCTGTGTCAACTGGCACTGGATCTTAATGTCAAAGGATGAAAGAAAGTGACATGGTAAACTTAACCTTCTCTAAAGTAGAGTGGGAGTGCCATTAGGTTATCCAAGATTCAATGTTTTTCACTTTGTCCCTGAGTCACATCTGAGGCAAGCTGTGTTAGATTTTTGTCGCTGTTTCAAAATACCCGACACAAACAACTTAAAGGTAGAAAGGTTTAATTTGGGCCATGGTCTCAGAGCTATTTTTGAATGATAGGTTGGCTTCATTGCTTTGGGCCTGAGGTGGGGAAGAACATCATGGTGGAAAGATGTGTTGGAGAAAATCTGCTCATTTCATGACAGCCAGGAAAGAGGATAAAAGAGAGGAAAGCCAGAGACAAAATATAATCCTCAAGGGCATGACCCCAGTAACCTCCTTCCTCCAACCATGCCCAACCTGCCTGAAGTTTCCACCACCTCCCTGAGCTCCATTCAGTTATTAATGGATTAATGCACTAATTAGATCAGGCTCATGATCCAATCACTACCCTAAAGCCCCACATCAAGACATTGGTGCATTGAGACAAATCCTTAAACTCATGAACTTTTGGGGCACATTCCAGATCCAAACCATAACATGAAGCAAACTTATTGCAGGAGGACAGGCCAATGCTTAGGATCTAATACAAGGAACCTCTGGTGAGATGGGGACATGAAGCCAGCACAGACTGCAGGACAGCTGGGGCTTATTCCAGTCCCTGTGAAAAAGGTGATAATGACCAGCCCCTCCTTACTGCCTCCCAATGATCCTTCTCCTTCTTCAGGAGTTTCCTGAAATTAGTCATCCTCATATTCACGTCTCAGAGCCTCTGATTCTTGCACATCTTATCTCCATTGCAAATTTGTGGCACTATGCCTAGCTAGGCACTGAAGCCTCATAAAGCAAAGTAAGGACAACAAATGCTAGTAGAGATAGTGTGCTCTGTGAGCTGTCCATGGTTCTGAATCACTTCATTTAACATAACTTCTATTCTGAACACAATTCACTTTCATTAGTCTTTTGTTTCTTCTCTCTCTCTCTCTCTCTCTCTCTCTCTCTCTCTCTCTCTCTCTTTTGTTTTGTAAAGGTGAACATATGTATCAGACGCATATTACATGTGATACAATGAGTTTCCGAACCTCACCCCAATCCCTCTTTACTTTCCTACTTTCCACAAATGCCTGACACTAGTGCAACCTTTTCAACCACCTAATTCTTTGTTGTATAATTAATAAATGAGCTGTAAGACACTAATTTCTATAGGTTATGGAGCTTCTCCCCTCTTATTTTAAGAGTAGATTACACTTTTTCAATATACTTGAAATATCATTGATTGCTATAATAATTTATTCCCTGAGCTGAGGTGATTATTGGCAAAGAAGACATTTTATTTTGTGCCCAGTTTCAGTACTAGCTGTTTTGTAAATGGGATAGCTTAATAACCTGCTCCAGGAAACCAGGAGAATGTTATCATCCAGTCCCAGAGCATAGAAACCCCCTCATTTTCTGCTCAGAACAGGAGTTTGGGGGCAACCTTTTCTGGTCACAGATCTGTGTATCTACCTACATGCCCCCATTGAACAGAGGGTTCTCTCTCCATCTTCAGGCTACAATCCTGCTTCAACCTCCTGTGTCTGTACTTTCTGGGAAAAGAGCACAGCATGTGAGGAAAGATACCTGTTTTGCTGCTTGGCTGTCTGAGAGATATGGTCTAAACTGAAATCATTATTATTTCATAATTATAAGAACAACTACAAAATTGTGGCGTGATCCTGGAGAATGTTTAGTCACCATCCTTATAAGACTTGTAAGTCTTCCTGCATAAACATAACAGATGAATTCCTTCCTCCTCTAAACTTCCCAATCACTATTTAACACTTTTTTTATACTTGTCATTTGACACTTTCTACTATGATTCTTAAAATTTCTATCTATTAATCCATCAGAAACAGCATGACTAAAAAATATAGGCAACACCGAGTGTGGACAAGAACATGGAACAACAGCAATCATCGTAAATTACTAGAGGGAAGAGGAACTGTTCAAACTTTGTAAAACATGTGGTAATGTTTACTAAAACTGAGCAAATGTATTTCCTTATGATCCCCAAAACTCCCTTTCTAGGCATATTCCCAGTAAAAAAAAATAGTGGCATATATTCATTCCCACAACATGTACAAGAAAGAGAGCTATGATTTTATCAGTAATTTAATACTTAAATTTGGAAAATGACCAAGGTGTTCATTAGCACTTTCAAGGATGTATAAATTATAATAATGAGTATAATACAGGAAAGAGAATGAACAACGTCGCTATATACTTACTGTGGAACAAATCCCACAATATTACTGAGTGAAGACATCAGACACAAAAGAAGTAAAAAACAGGCACAACTCATGTCTGAATTTATAAGCCAAGAACTGGGGACAGTAGTTATTTTATGGAGAGATAGTTGCTAGTTGCTAGATATTAGAGCAGGGAGGCTTCTAGGGTGCTGGTGATGGTCAGTTTCTCTAACCAAGTGATAGTCACATGGGTGACTTCACTTTATGAAAATTCATCAAACATGGCAACTACATTTTATGCACTTTTATTAGTGAATATTATTTTTCAATAAGATTTTTTTCAATAAGATTTTTAAATTATACTTTATCTACCTATTGACTGAATTCTGAGAAAACAATTCACATTCAATCCACTTTCATGTCCCTATTTGCCCCCACACTGAGCCATCATTTAATAGATATTTCATAATTTTCACTCAATAAAGAAGTCAGCTATTTTTATACATATTTGGAAGGTGTTCTGATCCCAGGCCCAAGAGTTCAAAATGTTACCAGGTAGGCTTGAACTTCTGTCTGTCACCTGCTGAGTACTGTCCAGTTCAGACTTGCAGAATCTCACACGTGGTATTCTGTGACAACATTTGAACTGGACTGCCTGCTTTCAGAGTCTCCTCCCTGTAATCTACTCCATGCTCAAAAGAATGATTTATTCTTGTACAAAACATGGTATGAATCACATATTTCCTCTGTCTGACACCTGTTAGTGGCCATCCTCTGCCTGATGGAGTAAGGATAGGCCTGTTGATGAGGCTGTTCATGGCCTCTACAATTTTGTCATGACCTTTCTCCTTTAGCTAATCAAGTCTAACTTGAGAATGGGACAGAGAAATGCCCTCTGTCCTCCATCAGCAGCTCTGCTATGATCCCTTGCTCCCACTGTCATTGCTCTCTGAATGCTTGCTGTCATTCTTACTTGTGATCCTGGACATTGTCCAGTCATTCTTGAATCACGAAGAATCCCTGGTCACTTTTGGCCACAGCCATCTCTCCCTTCTTACAGAAAGTCCTGCCACTCAATCCCTGCCTCTGATAACTCATCCAATTTTTGGAATTGTTTCAATTGTGCCACCTAAATTTACAATGCACTTTCATAAGTATTTTCTCATGTACTTCTCAGAATACTTGGACAAACAAATAAAGGTACAGAGAGTTAAACTCATTTTATAAATAAGACTGCTGTTCAGAGAGGTGAAGTGACTTGATCCAGTGAACTCAGCCAACTATGTAATGTTTTGAACAGCCAACAATAAAAAATTTAAAAAAAAATAAATTTAAAAAAAAAAAAAAAA